TTCTGCGAAAATGACTGTAGAAGAGAGCAGCAACTTTGAGCTTTCCAAAGCTGCACAGTTAAGTAGTTTTGGTGCCACCGTTGAATCCATCTCATCATTACAGTTCACAGACTTCTTCCTCGGTAGCTCATTTTCGTTGTAGACACAATAGTTGTTTACCAAACTCAAAGAAAGAGAGAGTAAGGGAAGGGAAAGGGTTTTGATCAGGAAACGTAAAGGTGGGTACTAACGTACTATCGGCAGTGCCTAGCTTTCTTTTTTATTTATTTTTATTAAGGGTAATTTTGTCCACAAATTTTTAAATTTTGTCCCGCTCACTGATTTGGTCATATCTTTCTAAACATAACTGAATTTGTAAATTTAACAACTTTGTCATTTATTTTGCAAAAAGTCCTAATTTTTTAATTTAAATTTAATTTTTTAGTTTAAATCTTTTGAACTGTCCAACCCAACCAAAAATTGACCTAAACCGATATAACCCGAGTTGGCCGATTTTCATTAATGGTCAATCGGTTTCAGGTGACCAACTCCCAAACCTGACTAAGTCAATTTGGTGGGTCAAACAACCTATAACTGAGTCGAACCAACCCATGAACACTCTTAATTTCAGCTAAATTAATAGTCTAATCTCTAATAAATAACAATAGTTTAATCTCCAATAATTATTGAAAATTTATAGAAAAAATGCACAATTATTGAAAATATATTGATAATGAAAATTCAATAAATAACTAATAAAAATGCAATAAATACAATAATTACGAAAATAGAATAAATATTAAAAAATATTTAATTAGTCAAGAAACAGTGTAATATCAAATAAAAGTTTAATCTCTAATAAATATTAATCAATAAATTATAACAAAAATACAATAAATACAATAAATTAAATTTAAAAAGTTAAATAATAGTAGTTTAATTTCCAATAATTATTGAAAAATTTCTATTAAATAACAAAACAAAAATAAACTTATACTTAATTATTGAAAATATATTTATCAAAAAACACAATAAATAATTACTAAAATAACAATAAATATTAATTATAGTATAGATAAATATAGATTAATATTTTCAAATTAGTATTAATAAATATTAATTTTTTTGAAAGTTATTTTCTAGAATTATTAATTGATATAAGTGAAATCAGTTATTTACAATATTATTTAGTTATTTAAATAATATCATTAGTTAAATTTTAAAATATTAATTATTTGTTGTATTTAATCATCCATAAAATTTATTTATACTATTATTACATAATTTTGTAAAATATTAAATTATTATGAATTTGATTATTATATTATAATTAATTATTTTTCTACTTTTAAGAAAAAATTTGAATTTATTACATATTCTCATTTTTTTAACTATTTAAAATCTAGTTATGTTAAATATTTCGTTATTTAAAATACTTATTTATTTAAATATTGAAATAATATATAAAGTATTTATAAATTTTCGTTATTTGAAATTTATTTCATTTAAAGTTATTATATAACGTTTATTACTTTATTATATAATTATTTAGCTATTTTTAGTATTTTGTTATTTAAAATATTCAGTTATGAAATATTTAAATAGTACTTTAATTTTTAATGTTAAATTGTATTATTTTAATAACATTTAAATTGAATAATTCGGAAAATCATAATTTATAATGTTAGTACATAATTTCGTGATGAATTTTGTAAAAATATAAAATTTTTAATAATATGAATATTTTTAAATCTATTATAATTATTATTTTTTGTGTTTTTAATAAATATTTTAAAGTTATTATATAATTTCGTTAGAATATTTAAATATTTTTAAAATTTTTAATTCAAACATTCTTTAGATACATATAGATAAAAAGTGGGGGAGAAGATAAATAGGAATTTGTGATAATTTAGGTAATAAATTGGAATTAGAGATAATTCAGGAGATAAATAGGAATTAGATATAATTCAGGAGATAAATAGGAATTAGAGATAATTTAGGAGAAAGTGGAGGAGGTAGTTTAGGAGAGGATATTGTTTAGGTTATTGAGAACGTGTGGGATGAAGAGAGAGAGAGAGATTTTAGGTAATTTTTATGGGGAGGGAAAGCATCTCATTGGCTGTTTAAAAAATGACATGGAATAAAAAATAAAAAATTCAGAAAAAGGAGAAAATTTCTAGACTGTTGTGTTGTAGTGTGTGTATATATATACTAGTAAGTGTTGCACGTGCTTTGCACGTGGCAATTCTAGATGATGATAATGACAACAATAATGTATCCAAAATTTTCTATAAACTTTATGTATTTTTATTTTTTGTTTTTTTTTGTTAATCGGATGTAGATTGCAAAATCCAAATCTGATTACATAAACACATCATCCAAATATGTGATAATTGGATCGAGTTGTGAAGTTTCAAGTATCATTGACAGGCCTACCTGCTTGGCTAAACTCTTCTTTTTGTAATGTTTTATCTTTTTGGGGTATATTTTTTTGTTCATTTATAAAAAAAAAATTTATAAGATTTAAATAGAGGGAATTGAATGGGGTGAAAAAGTAGTAGTTCAATTTATAATTTAAGACTCACAATTAAATGGGGGTTAAATTAAAGAAAAATGAGTATTTTAATCAAAAGAAAGTTCCACAATCTTATAAAACTATAGATGTATTCACATTTTTCTATAACTTTTTTTTTTGTTAAAAATAAATTTCACATTTCACACTTTTTGTTTAATATGATATTATACATATACCTAAATGTTGTTTTGCAAAATTTATGTTTTTTTTTTCAATTTTGCATTATATATTTTATTAATTATTATTATTTATATATATGAGAGCAAATGTTAACACATTTGCCCCAAAAGTTGAACTACCGATCTTTACCAAACAGTAAAATAATTTCATTTTTTGTCAGTTCTAAACAGTGTTTTAAAAGGCGTGGGAGGCATACACCTAGAAGTGCACCTCCAGGCTAGGCGCTCCTAAAACACCCTGAGGTGTATGCTAGAGGCACTGACACCTCTGAGGCGTACGCCTCATGCGCTTTTTTCATGAGGCATGCTAGAGGCGTACGCCTCATGTGCTTCATGCAAATGTTATATAAAAAGACAGAAACAAAAGAAAAAAGAAAAAAAGAAAAAAAGGAAAGGAAAGGAAAGGAAAAGAAAGGGAGGGGAAAGAAAAAGAAAGAGAAGAAAAAAAGAGAAAAGTGGTTTGCCCCTCGCTCCCTTTTCGACAAGACCCCCCTTTCAACTACTGTTATGCATCTTTATTCTTCTTAATATAAAAGATTTTTATTAAAAATAAAGAAAAAAAATGAGATCCCCCTTCCTCTTCATCCTCCTCCCCTTCCTCCTACTAACCCCCCCTTCTTAAAGAGGCTTACGCCTCTTGCATTTTGAACTACGCCTCACGCCTCTAGGTAGTGGAACGCATCGTGTCATGCCTCCGTGTTTTAAAACATTGGTTATAAGTTATGTATTTCATTTTCATTATGAATAAAAATAATTCTTGTTTATTAAACTTATTTTTTAATTTGATTATTAAATATATCATAAATATGTATAATGTTTTCTACATTTTTGTATTGTTATATTTATTTCTATTTTAATTACCTAACTATGACTTCATAGGTTGATCAATTTGATTCGGATGGTTGAATTGCTTAGCCACCACTTGGATAAGGAATGATTTTGTTTTTGAGTTAGTTTTAAGATATATGGGTCTATATTGTTAAAAATATTGATATAGATCTAATTAGTAACATTTATTAGTGAAAAATAACATAAATATAGGATTTAATAGAAGAAAATGGAGTTAATACCTTAAGTATAATATTTAATAAGAGGGGATTAAATGAGGTGGAAAGTAACAACTGAAGGTGCATTTTAAACCCTTATATGGCTACTAAAATGACCATATTTGGAGTAAATACACAAATATGGTCATTTTAGTAGCCATTATAGCTGTCATTAAAACTATAATAAAATGACTTTTATACCCTTTCTCAAACAAAGAAATAAAGGGTAATTTTAGTCCAAGAAAACTTTCACTCTACATCTACACTTCTATATATATATATCTCTGTATAGCACTAACTAAAAGGTGTAATGCTTATTCTTGTAGCTTCTGATTTGTTTAGGTGCTTTCTCTCTTGTAGCTTTTTGATATCAATAATATACCTACATACTTTAACCGTAGAAAGTTGGTATTGGTCTATTGGCATCTGGACTCATCATTTTACTCCAAGTACATGCCTCGGACATGGCACTACACTGGTATAGGTTGTGTCAGATTTTTCAAAACTGTCTCTTTTCCAAATGCAAGATTTTGATGAATTGGGTAAATGGGTATGTATGCAATTAAGGATACATATTCAACATAAATTATTAATTTATATGGTCTAAACAAATAAAAGATATTAGAAATTAAGGCATGAATATATGCTCAACCAAGAATGTTCCTTAACCCTCATAAAATGTAGAATTTCTTTACACTATTATGTTATCATTTTTTAATTGTCACAATCTGATTTATTTTTTCATTGCTTTTGTTTTTTGTGCTTTCAATTTTGGATATCAATAGTGGAATGTTGCTAAATTAAATGTAGAGTACTTGCATAATCAAACAATTAATATTTATTGTTCAATTAGCCTATAGATAAATTTTAGCCAGTCCCTCTATTACAAGATTTCGAGGTCAGGCAAATCCAACTTAGAGGAATACTTGCACAGTTGCACTTGATACCTAGGCAGCTTTGCCCAAGTCCATGTAACATAGGTCATCGTCATCATCATCATCCATGCCTTATCCCAATTATATGGGGTCGGCTACATGAATCCTGTTTCACCAATCCATTCTATTTAAAGGCATATCCATTAGCATTCACATTTCTGCCACATTCATTTTCTGGACATGTTTCTCGACTGTCCAACACTCCACTCCATACAACATAGCTGGCCTTACAACTATTTTATAGAACTTTCTTTTTACTATTAATATCAATTAATGTATGCAGATAAGAGGTGGCCATGCTACTCATGTGCAACTTGCAGAACAATGGGTATTGAACTCCCATAAGATCCTACAGGCCCCATTTTCCTCTGCTGCTTATGTTAATGCACTAAAGGATGCTGAACAATTTCTTTGGGGGGGTTCTGAAATGGACCAGGTATGCATTGGCTGCTCAATTGATGTGCTACTCTTTTGTTGTAAGTTTGAAGCTTCAATGGATTATTGGTTTCTTCTATGCATCTCTGCAAAAAACTTTGACATGTAGGTTCGGAACATGGCAAAGAATTTGATTGAAGCTCGGAAGTGGGCAGAAGAAGTAATAAATTGCCTTTCTAAAGTTGAGACCTGTTTACATCATTGCAAGAATGATATAGGGAAGGTGTCCTTGGGATTTGTCGAGAATTTGCTGAATTATGATCCATTGCCTTGTAATGAGCCTGGATATTTTAAATTGAAGGTTAAAAAGTTTGAATATTTGGGTAATTTCAAAGTGTCATCACAATCAATTTGCAAACTTGCTTTTATGTGACTTTTGGAATTACTCCATACAGGCCTATGCAGAAGATGCAAGAATATTGGTTGGAGAAATAGAATCTGCTCTTTCAATAAGTTCACATGTCTCGGTAATAAAAGATTTATCTCATCACTTCATTTATACAATTTCTTTTCTCAGCACTGATTCTGTGCAAAGAAGTTTTACTTCAACTGTCTCATTATTATGTCCATTTTTTGATCAGCAATATTATATTTTTTATCTTCTAAAAAATATTATTTTGTCCATTTTTTGATAGGCAATATTTAAAGAAGTATTATTAATGGTAAAACATTATGCCCCTACTATCTAGAAATTTTTTTTTGAAAGGTAAAAATGACAAATTCATTAACATAAAAGAAAAATACAAGCTGATGGTGACAGTGCATCATCCATTTACAATAAAAATAAGATGTTGTCGAATCAATATAAATTTTCCATAATACACATTTGAAATCTCAAAACTTCTCCTAAATTTTCTCCATGTCCTTGTCAAGTTGACTGGATTCTGGATGAACCATAACTCAATCAGCCACCAACTTGCTAACAGCAGCTACTATCCTGTCCATGCTACTGTATTTGTCATTGAAAATTCTTCTATTCCTCTTCTTCTGAATATTCCAATAGATTGCAGATGGAATGCAGCTCCAAATCACGATTGCCTTCTTGCTACCTCTTAACTTTGACCATGAAGAAAAAATTTCTAAAGCTGAGTTTGGAGAAATCAGATACCCCAAACATTGCGGTGAACAATCTCTACGGGAAATCAGAAATTTTGCAACTGAAAAAACATATGTCTGATGTTCTCCTGCTTTTTGCATAAACAACATCTACTAGCCGTACTGAAACCTCTTGATTTCAAATGATCCACAGTCCTAATCAATGGTACAGCAAAGGACTTCTTCCCGTCCAGGAGAGGAATTAGGCAAGGTGACCTCCTATCCCCATTCTTGTTTAACCTAGTGGCAGAAGTGTTAAGCAGAATGGTGGCAAAAGCTGCTGATGCTCAAGGCCTTATTAGAGGTTGGAGGGTAGGTAGAAATCGGGTGATTGTTACCCATCTCCAATTTGCAGATGACACCATATTTTTTTGTGAAGGAAACAATGAGGAAGTGGTGGAAAATTTGAGGGTGCTGCTGAATAATTTTGTGGGAGTAACAGGGCTGAGGATAAATTGGACCAAAAGCGGAATTGTAGGGTTCAATTTGGAGGAAGGAGAACTAATAAGATTTGTAGAGATCTTGGGGTGCAAGATCAGAAGCTGGCCTATCAGTTACCTAGGTCTACCCTTAGGAGGAATTATATTTCTTTGGGTGTAAGAATAACCTTGATTAGAGCCACTCTGGCAAACATCCCCACCTATTTCCTTTCAACCTTTAGAATCCCTTCTAAGGTGGCAAGGTGCTTAGAGAAGTATATGAGAGATTTCCTTTGGGACCCAGGAGAGGAAAGGAAGGACCACTTGGTCAAGTGGGAGTGGGTTAGCAAACCTAAGGAACAAGGGGGTTTAGGAATTGGGAACATCCTTTTAAGGAACACAACACTACTAGGTATGGCTTTGGAGGTTTCCCTTTGAGGGCAACAAACTATGGCACAAAGTGATTGAGAGCATTCATGGGGTGGTCGGAAATGGCTAGGATGCAAAAGTTTCCCCTCACAGTTCTTCAACTTCTCCTTGGAAAGCAATTCATGAAGTCTACCCTACTTTCCTCAATTCCATCTGGTTCGATGTGGGACAAGGTAATAAAATTCTGTTTTGGGAAGATCTATGGGTAGGGGAAACCCCACTAAAAGACTAATTTCCTTATCTCTTTGCGTTATCTAACCTCAAGGGGGAAGCTATATCCATGTTGGGAACACCGTGCCCAAATGGTGTGAACTGGAATTTGGGCTTTAGAAGGGGACTAAGGGAAAATGAGTGTGAGTCTTTAATCCGATTGCTGGACCTCCTAGGGCAAATCCACTTGGACCTTTCGCTGGAAGACTCTAGAATTTGGATAGGCTCTCCAGACGACCTCTTTTCTTGCTCCTCTTTCTTCAAAGTACTTGCTTTGCCCAACCTTCTAGGTGGGGTTTTCCCTATGAAAGAAATTTAGTGCAAGCGTATTCCCCCGAAGATCCAAGCCTTCTGCTGGGAAATATTCCTTGGTAAGGTAAACACTTGCGATATGCTGCAGAAAAGAAGGCCCTATATTTGCCTTTCTCCTCATGTGTGTTCATTGTGTAAGGAAAGTGGTGAGACCCTTTCTCATTTAATGATATCCTGTTCTTTTGTGCATCGAATTTGGGATTTCTTTTGTACTCTCTTTGGCTGGACTCTCCAACCATATATTCTTGAGACAGCGAAAGAAAAGAGGGATGGTAATGTGGAAAGAAACAAAGCCAGCAATTTGCTGGGTAATATGGGAAGAGAGGAACAACAGAATTTTCTTGGAAAAAAGTAGAACAATAGAGGAAGTGATTGATAGTATCAAGGTGAAAGTAGCCCATTGGGTAAAACCCTTGGATAGCTTTCAAGTCTTCTTAGTCATAGACATTCTAAGAACATGGTCTGAAGTAGCACAATCTTCGAGAGTAAGAGATAAAGTAAGGCTGGAGTGAAAACCACCAGAAGGCAATAAAGTAAAGCTGAATTTTGATGGGTGCTCCTTTGGAAATCCGGGCATCACAGGAATAGGAGGAGTATTAAGAAACTCTGGAAGGAGGATATTGGGTATGTTTCTCAGGACTGATTGGCATCGGAAACTCGTTGAAGGCTGAACTATTGGCATTACTACAAGGGTTAAAGCTAGCCAAACAGCTAGGATACAGACATGTTGAAGTGGAAGGGGACTCAAAAGTAGTAATTTCATGGGCAACAAACAGAAGCCATACCCCATGGATGTTTAAACATGTGATCAGGGAAGTGGAGAAGATTGCAAAGGAGGTTGAGGCTGAATTTAAATGGGCCCGAAGAAGTGCAAATGGGCTAGCTGATGGCTTAGCAAAACAGGGGCATTGAGACAGCAATTATTTTGGGCTGCACTGTAATGAGGGAGAGAATAGAGTGATTAAAGGAGATCAACAGTCCCATCACCAAGTTGTATAAACTGCTTACAATCTGAATTTTAATAAAATACATGTTTACTGATAAAAAAATATGCTGTCTGTCACAACCAGCCATGCAAAAGCTTAAATCCTTGGGGGAACTGGGTTTCCCCACACTCCTAACTGGTTTGAATCTGAACTGCTTCTACTTAGAGCTAAATAACAAGATTTCACAGTGAATTTTCTGTTTGAGCATTCCTTCCACTATAGTTCATCCCTCGTTTGAGAAGGGATGTTTACTGCCTCTAGCTTCCCCAACAGAGAATTGCATTCTTCCACCTCTGTCCAGCAAAGGTCTCCTGAATTTTGGGCTCTAAATCAACTGATTTCCCCTTCTTTCATAGAAACCGCTAATAGTAATGTCAGCCTCAGCCAGCTTATACAATCTTGGGCATAACTCATTCAATTTGCCAATCCCATACCAATCATCCTCCCAAAACCTAATTCTTGAGCCACCTCCTTCTGAAAAGCTTGTTAGACTTCTGAACTCCCTATTTAAACTCATGATCCCTTTCCACACACTCACCCTATGTGAGGACCTTACCTCTTTAGGTTCCCAGCCAAACCTTGCCACCCCATACTTCCTCACACCACCCTCCTCCACAATGATTCCTCCTCTCTCCCTAGCCCAAACCTCCATAACCACTTCCCCGACAAGGCCCTGTTAAAAACTCTCACTCTTCTAATCCCTAGACCTCCCTTCTTCTTTGGTCTGTAGACCTTGTCCCACTTCACCAAACGAAATTTCTTGCCCCCTCCTCCCCCACCCACACCCTCCCTTAAGAAATCTCTATGAAACTTCTCTATTCTTTCAGCAACTTGAGATGGGATCTTCAGCAATGACAAATAATAGGTTGGTAAGCTTGAGAGGACACTTTTAATTAAAGTTATTCTCCCTCCCAGCGAGAGATATTTTGCTTTCCATCCATCCAACCTTCTTTCAACTCTCTCCACAATTGGCCTCCACAAAGCACCTGAGTTTGAAGCCCCTCCTGTTGGCATTCCCAAATAAGTGACAAGGAGCTCACCAATTCTGCATTCAAAAGCATCGGCACAATCCAACAAAACTTCCTATTCAATATCTCCAACTCCAATCAACACACTTTTTGAGAGTTTTTTTTTTTTTTAAGCAAAAGGTCCTTTGTACAATGAGAAGCTGTACAATTAGCTAACAAGTTGGACCTCAAAAAAGGCCATCCTCAAACTTTGTGTTCAAAATTTTTGTTGTTTCTTTCCAGCCACACCGCCCACAGAATTACCAAAGGGATGGAGGACCAGCAGACTTTCCCTTTCTTAGTCAACCCGGATATGTGCCATTCCTCCAGCAAGGCTTTCACTGAGGCAGGCATGCACGAACTTAAATTCAGGGCCTTCAAAAAATAGCTCCAAATTTCTGAAGCAAACTTGCAATGCAGAAACAAATGTCTGTCTGAGTTCCACTTTACAAAGACTACATCTCAAGTCATTGCAGATGAAACCTTCTTCAACAACATTTCTTTGGAGATGCACTTTTCTAAAGCTGTTACCCATAGAAAAACTTGACTTTTGAGAGGTTAACCTTCAATCCTGTTAACAATTCAAAAATTTCCAAAACTGCCCTCAGATTTAACACTTGTTCCAGTGAGGCATATTGAAAAGTCAGGTATCATCTGCATACTGCAGATGAGAGATACATGGACCATTCCTTCCCACCTTAAATCCCTCAATTAAACCCGTTTGCCTACTTCTCAACAAGAGGAGGTTCAATATCTCCGTAACCAAGACAAATAGCATTGGAGATACTCCTTGTCTCAAACTCCTAGAAGCTTGAAAAACTCCGTGGATACACCATTTAGAAGAATAGAGTGAGACTGTAGACATGCATGCATACATCCAAGATCTCCAAATTTCTCCGGAACCCATTAACCTTTGAATTTACTCTAAGAAACCCCACTCCACCTGATCATAAGCTTTCTCAATGTCAATCTTACTTTACCAGGCCTGGTCTCCTACTCCTTGATCTGG